GGCTAATGAAGGAACTTAGGTTTGCAAAACACTGTAAATAATTTAGTATTGTATTTCAAGGAAAAAAAATAGCTTTCTTAAATCATCCCTGCAATATAAATTGCAGACTTATAGTATGGTCCTGGTAAGTCTAAATTTTTAAAGGAGCAATATTCAAAGAGACATAGATGTCTGTATTAATTATTTATTCGCTGGTGCCTTCCTTCGTTTCTAACTTATTATTAATTAGGCGCCTCTAGTCTTTCGCAGAGCGCTCCACTGAGCCGGTTGCAGCTTTAAATATGAATTAAAAGCAAATCCAAGCTACTGTAATGCGAAAATTATTCCGTGTCTTGCATGGCAGAGATGAATAGCTGCGTGGATCAATACCGTGAAACTCGGCTCCCAACGACAGGGTTATTGATAGCTTATATTAATGATGTTAATGATGGAAAAAGGAAAACAACGGCCCACCCGACTTAGAAACTTTTTAGCCTCTGAAACCCCGCAATAAAAACGGGAAGGGGGCAGGGTTCGGGCTTAAGTGTAATAAGAAAATTATTTATGAAACCGGATAAATGACTTCAGAGCCTTGATGCATTTGAACCTAACGCTCTCGGCTCCTGGCGGCCCCGGCTCCAGCTGGGGAGACCGCGAAAACCCGAAGCCACGGAGAGCTGGGTGTGGGGGGCGCTCCGATTGCCTAGGCAGACTGCGGCTTTCCGCCGTTCTTCCTCTGTCCCTGTCGGGAGAGCCCTCTGGGGCGCTAGTCGCAGAAGCTTTGGGAAGTTGGTGGAATGGGGCAGGGACAGGGTTGGTCCCTACTGTCCAGGAGGGGACAAAAAGCCAAGTCGGTGGGGCCCAGCAGTCTGGGATTTTGGCTTGCTTTTTTCACTGGTTCTTTTGGCACCCGCTCAAATGCTGCGGCTTTGTCAGGGACCCAGGTCGAGCTCTGCACTGTGGCCTCCTGTCCATCTGATCAAGGATCTCAGGATCCCCCAAATGCAAACGGGTGGCTAGTACCTGGGCGGGAGAGGGAAGGCTTTATATGAAGAGAAACCATTCTAAACACGGTAGGAAAACTGGAAAAGGTGCTCACCCTTCTCCTCCCTCCTCTGTGCCTCCGTGGATTCTTTACCAGGTCTAGGGTTTAACTGGGTCTGGGCATAAGGCTCCCAGCAAGCGCGGGACATTCCAGGCTAGCTGTTCCCGGGCTAGAGAAGGAGAGTGAACGCTCAGGTCTGCACCAAATTCTCCTGTAATTAGGCACAGGCGCCGCCCCCACTTGCCCGCTGGCCCCAAATATCGACCCCCTCTCCGTTTTCTTTAGTCAAGGGCCACTGAGAGGGAGGAGGGGAAGCGGAGGGGGTGGGGAAGCGAAAGGTTAAATCCCGACCCTGGAGGATCGCGGGAAAGGTCAGAGCCCGAGGGTCAATCTCAGGCTCGAGGTCACATCCCCCACTGCTGGGGGTAGAGCCTCCAGGTACCCTCCCCCCAGCTAGGGTCCCGGGCCCTTGGAGGCGAAGCTAGGTGAGGGAACAGGGCGACCCCTGGCCGCAGTGGGGGCGGTGCAGCAATGCTAGCGTAGCCGGCGGTGTCCCGGCCTCGCGGTCCGGTCCGGGGTGCCCTGAGCTGTCTTTCGGATTGGTGTGGGAAGTCGAGGGGCTTTTATTGTAAGCCTGGGCTATTTGTTCTGTGCCTCAGAAGGGAGGAGAGGCCGTCTGGTACTGCAGGCAAAGGCCCAAGTGGTCCACCAGGGCAATTACAATTTCCTGGAAAAGACCGGGAAATTTTGTGTTTTTTTCTTTATTAGGTCTTTTAAGATCTGTTTTTCTTCCTTCTGTCCCTCGAGTCTTCCTTCTTCTCCCTTTTCCTCTCTCCCTTTCTTTCTCTCTCCTTGGTTCCCTCCCTCCATTCCTTTCTTCCTCCTCTACCATTCCTTTCTTATTTTCTTTTCCCTTTCCTCCCCCTCCTCCTTTTTCTTTCTTTTTCTCCACCCCTATCTTATTCTTTCCTTCTCCCTAGCTTTCTTCCCTCACCCCCTCCCTCTTTCTCTACAGGGGAGCCTCGTGCACATCTCTGCACCTCCAGACTTTCATATGAAAGGTACCAGTTCATTTGGCGTGAGAAACGAATCCTGTTTCTGAAAAAAGGAGAAAAACAGGAAAGCACCAGGTAAGCAGAGGGGGTACCTAAGCTTCTGGGGCCCTTTCGCTGTAACTGGCCTTTCCTGATGTTTCTCAGCTGGGCTTCAGTCCACGCCCCGGGCAGGGTCCTGCCCCTTTCCTTAGCCTGGTGTATTTCTGACATCTGTAGAGGATGCATCCCTCTTGCTAAGTAATATTACCATGGTACCATCTGGGCCCCTGACATCAGCAAGATTTGGGGTTGTCTGTGTTCTTATTTATTGGATTTTATTTTGAGAAAAACTTAAACCTGTCAACTCAAATGCTGTAACCCCTAAAAGCACCATCGGAGCCTTGAATCTAGTCTAGGGCACCAGGGGCAGCCCATTAGAATCACTATCTCAGACAAAATCCAAACTTCCTGCCACCCAGGAAGAATCCCCTGTCAGCTATCTGGCTTCAAAGTCCACAGCATGTTTCAGATAAGCACCAGCTTGCATAGACGCAGCCCCATTGCCACACAATCTACCAGAAAACAGCCCTTCTTCGGAAAGGAAACACAACAATCACTACAAAAAAATCACTGGATTCTGGAAAAAAATCAATATCAAAATTAGATTTATTGTCTGCTTATGTGATTAAAAATGACAAAGTGTTGTCTTTTATTTTGATAAAAAGAGAGAAGGCTGAACAAAATAATTTACTATCGAGTTCTGCTCGTTTCATTTGCCTGGCAAAACCTGGAGGTGGCCTATAGGGCCATTGTGGAGTGCAGTGGCAGGGCCAGAAACCCACTGCTTAGGAGTGAGCTCGCTGTCAGAGGATGCATGTGCTACTGTGTGTGAGAATAATTTCCTAATCCCCAATATGTGGCAACGCTGGTCCAGCTGGGCAGGTCTCAGTTCTGTCTCATTCCAAAGAGGTACTGCGTGATCTGTTCCTTGCTCATAATTTTTCGATTCAAACCCAGACCCCAGGTCTTGTTCTTCCAAGTAATTTTCAAGATGACACTGCTGTATTGGTTTCTGTCACAGTCTTCCTGGACAGTCTTCCTGGCCTGCGTAGTCACCGCCTGCCAGATTCGAATCCAGCCTTCGATTCTGCGAGGTGCAACACGGTCCTGTCCGTGTGTGTGAGAGACCGGCTGCCTGGCCCGGGCCGGGCTCCCTTTACTGGGAGGCTTGTGGGGTTTCAGTCTAGGCTGGAATCACTCAAACGGGGTTTCTGAAACCTCTGTGGGCTGGATTCCTCAAGTGTGGCAGGCAGAGAGTGCATTCGAGGAAAACCACTTCATTGGGAAGAGGATGATTACACGGACGTTGGGGTTATTCATCTATGTTAAAAACAAAAAAGAAAAACTAAAAAAATCCAGTGTGTATCTCATCTTACACCCCCCTCCCTCTCCCCAAGCCGAATCATTCTGCAGCGTCTTTGCGATACTGCTGCTGCTGCTCTTCAGTTAGGGTCCAGGGTGCGCTGCCAGAGCTCCTATTTATCCGCTGCCTTCTTCCAGAACAAAGTGGCTCCCCATCGCGCCAGGGGTCTTGGAGTGAGGCCGGCGGGAGTGCAAATAGCTTCACTCACACTTAATAGCACCGTTGGAAACATAACTACCAAGCCGGGTCCCTGAGAGCTCCTAAATGCACCTTCCGATTTGGAACTGGCTTGTTGTTTGGCGGGTTGCACACGCCAGGGACTAATTTGTACGGTCATTAATTGGTCCTCCGTTTGCTCTGAAACCAAACCGAGAGGGTCCATTCCCTGGTACTGGTGCAAATGAAACCCAACCAAAACCATCTCCTCCATAGAATCCCCAGGAGGCTTGGCTCCTGCAAAGTCGTCCTAGCCTCCTCTTGGGGTCGAGGGCTTAGGGAGAAGCGGAAGTACAGTATTCCCTGTCACTTTTAAATGTGACAGGCCCCGCCAGGCACCAACGCTGGACTAGCATTAGCCCGAGCCCCACCGGCTCAGCTGCCACCTGCTTCTTGGCTCGACTTCTGTCTCTCTTCGCCCCTGTCCTGTGGGGCCAGAACACCCTCAAGTCCGGGCGCGTTTTCCCCAGATGCTGGAAGGGAGGCGGCAAGGGAGCGTGGGTCCCAACAGACAGGCCTGACCTGGCCGCCTCTGGGATGGTGAAGGCAGCCCGAGGGTCGGGCGTTGGGTGACCCCTGCTGTGGGGCAGCTCCAGCTCCTTTTGGCGTCAAGGTAGATTCCTCCATGGGCTTCCCCCGGGGAACAAACCCAGCCTCTCCTATTGCCCAGAGGGGCCCTCTCTCTAGCCTCCTCTCCCTACCCGCCTCCCTCGGCAGACTCTAGCGCCCTGGAACTGTCAGGCCAAGGGTCAAATGTCAGGCCTTCTCTAGGCCCAGGCTTCCTTTCTGCTCGGCGGCTGGTGTGAGTGCACCAGTCGCCTAGGCCTGTCATTCCCGCTGGATGCCCATTTCTAGAGAGAACAGACGCATATCTCAGAGCTTAACCTTCACTTCCCAACTTAGCTCTCTTGATTATGTGGGGTCTTGACGGGGGTGGAGCAGTTGAATTTAGGAAATTATATCCAGACCATAGAGTCAGTTATCTGGACATTTTAGGAGGGTTTTTTTTTTTTTTTTTTCATTTTGATGATTTCTCTAAGCTTAAGCAAGTAGAGGTGGCTTTGATCACAGGGCTGAGGAGCAGTCTCCCATTGCATCATTTCATTGCCCCAACCTGGTCAGAGCTGGAAAGAAGTTGCCGGAAGGGATATAGGTAAAGCAAAAGAATGCCCAGCCCTTCAAATGGGCAGCTCTGTTCCAAAGGAGCCGACCTATTGCCTGAGTGGGGGCAAGTCTCAGAGAGTAAAAAGCAGATTTCTATGCATGTTCACGTGGCACAATGTAATGATCACATCTCTATCAATTTCTGGAGGCAGAAGGCTCAATTTATTTTGGTTTCAGTCGTGGAAAGTCCTCAGCTTTAGCTCTGACTGACGACAGAGCAGCCAAGTAGTTAGAATTCTCTCTCCAATGAAAGGGATGGTCAATAGAATTCTCAGTATCAAATGAGCAATAATTTGCTGTGGCTACATGCTGGATAATGAAAGATGTTAGCGGGATCAATAAAAAATGAAAACACTTTTACTTACATCTTGAGTTACTGTTTTAAGAGAGCGAGAGATGCAACAAACCCAAAACCAGGTTCAGAGCCACCCAACATACCCCTCAAAATCCCAAGGCAGAGAGTTTTGTCACCACCTGACTGGCCCTTCTAGAATGCCAGGCCTCACCTCCTCCCCCAGGAGAGTAGATTATTTACATCAAATTAATCCTGTAGAAACCAGTAATAATTTAACTGCCAGGGTTTAAAATTTTTCTTTTGTCCCCTAAAGCCAGGAATAAATTTTAAATTGTTTTCCACCAGGACTAAAGGTCACCTAATTGGCTGCAGTTTATCAAAAAAGTATGGAAATGTCCCAAAGCTTATCTGTCCTTCAAAGTGCCCCAAAATGTGCACCTGGCCCAGATGACTGGGAGGGCAAAAGAACAGATATAATTCCTTTGGATTTGTTCTGTGTTGCCATTGCATCTGTAAAGTTCAGATTATAAACTAGATTTTTCCAGACAAGTTAATACCCCATCTTCTTTCATAATAATTTCATCTGTCTAATTTGTTTTCACTTTGGATTGGGTTTATTTGTACTTTCCAGTCTGCTTTTCTCACCACTCAATTTCAAATGTCCTCTTACAAATCTGGTTGTTAAAGAACATACTGTGAACCAGAGACACATTCTACATTTTTAAAAGATACCATAACGTAAAAGACGAGAAAAACGTCCCGGGTGCTCCGCATAAACCACGCGCAACGAAAATGCTCACCGCCAGACAGCTTCCAGCACTCGAACCCATATAAGCAAAACACATTTGAAAATGTGTTCGGCTGTTTTTGTAGGTTTAAGAAGACTACATTTTTCTGACCATTCAAGGAAACAAACACGAATTCAGCCGCTGCTTTAGTGCCCTCTGACCAGAGGAGCTGGTTTTGCCACCGAGTTAACGGTCAGTGCTGCAAGGTCAGAGGCCTGTGATCATGTTTATAGCAGGTTTGGCTTGGATTTGGTGAGACAGCCAGCAAACCTGGGAGATTATGAAACCGTCAACTAGCCCTGGGAAGTGTAGTCAAGTTTCAATTTGGGGATTTCTCCGGGTGAGGGAATCCGGCGGGCTCCATTTCTACAAGGCTCACAAACGCAGGTGCAGTTCGGCCGCCGCATGCTGCCTGGCGGGAGAAACGCGCACAAACCACAGACGCGTGCTCGCGTACTGGCCACTAGCTCTGGGTACGCCCGTGTTATTTACACCCTGCTCGGGCGGTGGTGGGGAAGCCTCTCATTTGCTACTTTAAACTCGCGGGGAGGAACTGTTAGCTGCCGTGGCGGGACTGGCAGGCTGGGAGGGGGGCACCCCCGCTCGGCTCCAGGGGCGTGACGCTGCTGCTGCCCTCCGCCCCTGGCTTCCACCCTGTTTGCGTGGCCACAAGCTCAGCGGTGGACCAGCGTGGCGGAGCCCCCGGAGCCCTCGCCCCGGCCTGCCGCCCCCTACTTCTCCCCCACCCCCCACACCCCACCCCTTCATAAGCCCGTGAGACTCGCTTACCCTGGTGGTCGAGTAGCGGCGCATTAGCGGATTTCATGGCAAGTTGCTTCTGTGACATGAGATCAAGTTCGTGTTCGAGGATTTGCCCCCTAGGAGGGAGGAAAAGAAGAGTCAATCTTCATAATTTCAAATGAGAAAGAAATAGGGAAACAGGGAGCTGAATTTCCAGCCCCCTAGTTCCTCCCTTCCCCCGAACCTGCCCCCCCGCGTCCTCTGCACCACAAAAAAAAAAAAGGAAAAAAAAAAAAACAAGGTAATCAGCACACGTCGCAGGTGATACCTTTTATTGTGCTCATTTTAAAGACAGAGACGGGATGGCCTCCTGCCCGAAGACTTTCTCTGCAGCCGGGCCTGGGGCAGGAGGGTCAGCCGGGCTGCATCCGGGCCCGCGGATTCCTGCAAGGTCGCGGGACGAGAGGTGCGTGGAGGATAGACCTCGGGCTTGGCGCCCAGCGGCCCCCCTAGGCAACCAGGGTCTGAGCCAGACGCACAAGCCCAAATTCCCTCCAGCTTCTTCGGCTCCATCTTTAAGTCCAGGCAAAGATCAATTCCCTCTCTCTCTTGCACACACACATTTGCAGCCATAAATAAACAGCTCCTAGCTAAATCAGGAACCGGAGAGGAGAAAGGGAAAAAGAAAGGAGAAAAGAGAAGGATGAGAACCCGAGCGCTAGTCTCGCCTCTCCCGCGCGCTCCGAGTGGCTCTTTTTGGTCAGGCCAGCCTCGCATTTGGGGATGCAACTTGCATTTGAATAGCTGCCTGGGCTTGTTATGGACCCGGGAAAGCTCTGAAAGGGAATCACTATGCAAATTGTCCCAGTTACAATCGAAAGGTTCGATCTCCAGGAGCTGCCTGACGGAAGTTGATGTCAGCTATCTATGCATTAGGGTTGCATTACCGCCTTCCTCGGCCTCCTCGCCACCCCCGCTCGCGCTTGCAGGGGAGGCTTTTTTTTTTTTTTTTTCTTCTGTGTATATTTTCCCTCAGTAATTAAAAAAAGAAAAAGAAAAGAAAAGAAAAGGCTGAAGGTGGTGGCGTAGCTGACTTGGGCCTGGGAGGCCCACGGGCTGAGACGGGAGGAGGTGCAGTCGCTTCGGCTGTGGGGTTGGTGGGGGGGTCATTCTTTTGCAGCAGGTGTTGATGGTGCGTTTGAAATCAAACATTTAGAATTTTTTTTTTTTTCGCTTTGCGGGACGAGGCAGCGGCGGCGGGGGGTTGGGGCGGCGATGTCTGCCTCCGCCCGCTCGCTTGATCTTACAATGCCGGCTGCAGATCAATACCCGCTCACTGTAATCCCAGTAATTGTAGGGCTCGCAGCTTTTATTTTAAAGAAATAGGACACTAGGGCGACGGCAGGCGGCCGAGGCAGCATGGTTGGGCTGCGGTGCCTCCGGGGGCCTTTTGGGGCGCCTGTCTTTTACCCCAGAGCTCAGAAAGCTCCCGGCAGCTGGGTGGTCGCGCAATGGCAGCGCCAGGCCATTAGCCAGGGCCCACCTGGCTGCCCGCGGGGACCTGGAGGCCCACGTGGGTTCCGGCCCGGCAAGGCACTGGCGAGAAGGCGCTGCTGGGCGCGTAGCGGAGGCAGCACGCGGGATCTGGCCTTTCCCCGCCTGGCGAGCGGTCCCTGGCGGGAGGGCCAGGTCCGGGAAGGGCGTCTTGGGCTTGGACGCCGACCGTGGGCTGACTTGGTCCCAGACCTCGACGCGTGGGGACCCAGGATGCGGGAACTCAGGCCTTCGACCTGCAAAGACTGAGGTTTTGTCCCCTTTTTGGGGCCTTCCAGGGCCGGAGGCCCGGCCAAGCACCTGCGTGGCCTAGCTCCGGCCTAGTCTGCGTCTGGCCCTCGGTCTGGGAATTGGCAGGGACGCTAGGACCCAGTGATCTACCGCCCGCGCGGCCCCTTAGGCCGGGGTTTCCTCCAGGTGCGCGTGGCCGCACGTTCGCCCGACTCCCGCAGACCCCGTCGCGCCCGGGGGCCGGGTCGGTCCCGCAAGCCTCCTGCTACCTCTGCCGCCCGCCCCTTGCTGGCAGAGCCCGGCAGGACCGCTGGGGCCTGGGGCAGCAGCCCCCGCGCCGCTGGCCGCCCGCAGCTTCTGGCGCCCCCGAAAATGACCATCTGTCATTCAATTAAGGTTTCAGGGCAGCTGATGGGGGAGCCAGGGTCAGCGACCCCAGGACAAAACGGCCTGCTGCCTCGGATATGAGAAGTTCAAATGTTAAATGCAGAACATTGTGCCCTCTCCCAGTCCGGGGCCCCACCCGGCCGCAGGTCCGGCCGGTGGACAGCAGTGGGGTGAAGGGCAGCGGTCATTAGCACTTAGATTTCAGCTCTGGGCCCAGCTCCTTCTGTTGGGCTATTTTGACCAGAGAACCTTTAACCCTTTCGGCCCTCCCTCTAGAGGAGGCCAGATTGTCCAAAGGGGGAAAGAGAGAGGGAGATCAGATGCACCCATATAAAGTGGGTTCGAACTGGTTTTTTTTGTGCTCACTTCTTCATAGGAAAAGCAGATAACATACCTACAAGATAGAAGAACGTTCATGATAGCCAAAACAAACGAAAAGTCCTCAGGAAGTTTTATTTAAACATTTTTAGTTTTGGGGAAGAAGTACATTTCTTAAATATGACCCTGAATTTGCTGTGTTAGTGTGGAGAGAGTGAGTCTGTAAAATATTCCAGGCTTTTCTCTCATAATTGTGTTTACCCAAATGTGTGTGAGTGGTGATGAGAGTCACCTAGCTACAGACAATTCCGTTTATGTGCTGGTGATGGGGTCTCCATTGCAGCCAGTCTCATTTACAGTTGAAATTAAGTTAGATAGTGGCTCTTCCCTTTTGAGACATTCCTATAATAAAACGAGGTAAAAATAATGGAAACTAATGGAATTCATAAAATACATTCATTAAGCATGTACATGATGACTACAAGCGGTGGGCATTTAGGTATTAATACGCTTGGCTTTTCCACACTAATCTGAGGAGAAGCAGCTAGACACCTAGCAGTTGTCAGTGGAAGATCCAACTACTCCTCTTAATTATTAACCACGAAGCCTGAAAACCGCTCTATTAGCAAGATATTGTTTCAAGGCTTGGAAATCTAAGTCCTTCAGCAGGCTAGTTAGCAATAGAGGAAGAACTCAGGGCTTCTGGCTTCCAGTGCCTGGTTCTAAACATTAAATCTAGTCCTTACTTTTTGGAAGTAACTATCAAGCAATCAATTAATCAATCAGACATTCAGCATTGAAGCACCTTAGAAATTTTTTCATTGGATAACAATGAATAATGCATGGCCCTCCAGTATATTGACTGTGGTAAATGGTCTTTAAGGTAAGGTGCTGCAACAAGTACCTTTAAATAAAATCAAAATAAAAAGTTTACCACAATCATAATAAATTGTTCAGTCATCTTCTTATTGACCCATGTAGTGTCTTTCTTCAGGGGCATTTGGAGTTATTTTTTCCCCCTTACAAATAGACCAGAACAAATTGATGAATTGAGCTTTCACTATGCTAATTTAGACATTATAAATATTTAATTAACATCCCTAATAGCCAGTCATAGAGCCCTCCCTCCCCACTGCTTTACACTCTTCTTAATCTAAAGTAAATGCTTTTCCCATTAATAGCCTGATGCCATATTAGCGCTTCCTCGGTAAAAGGGCCCCATTTAGTTCAAAAGGAGGGAGCATTGAGTAGTCTGCATGAGGTAGGGGTTTATTCCTGTTTGTAAAGGATCCTGGGAGCCATTACAAGTCCCTGCAAATCCTACCTTTCCTGGTTCTTGCTTAAGTGAGACCTTTCTAAGAATGTGAGAGCCTCTCAATTTCATTTTTTGAGACACCTTTGAGGTTGTAGTAAAATAGAACTATTTATTTTAGTAAGCCCTAGAAGTGGGTCCTAGATAATGGATAACAAATTTCTAACCAGGGGCTGTGCTAGTCTTTTCAGCAAAAGTTATGTAGTTAAAATAATTCTAAATGAGGAGTCAAAGGACCTAAGTTCAAATCCTATGGTGGGACTCTTGGGCAAGGGATTTAACCCCTTAGAACTTCAGTTTTCTCTTTTAAAGTGGAGATAATGTCTATGCCACAGAGTTAAAGATTGAATAGGACAATGTATGTGAAATTGCTTGGCATACAGTAGACAAGAAATATTAAGTTAATTCCTAAATGACTGCCCCAAATTCATGAATCCTTCTCTCCCCTATGTTTATTCTTGTCATCTTTAACATACTCTGTTATCATAATTTAACATGGTAACAGCACTTTATATTTGCAAACATTGTTTGTCCTGTTAATCCTTTGATTTAGCTTCTGCAGTGTAAAATAGGGAGAAACTGGAAGACCTAAACTCTGACCAAGAGGCAGTTTAAAAACAAATATGTGAACTTAGATGTTCAAAAGCTCTGAGTCATAAACTCTGATGACTGAAATGTCCTTCCACAACAGTCCTTGTGTGGTTTTGAAAGATTCCAGAAGCTGCATTATATTTCCCTGGGGGCAGGAATCAGGTCAGAACTGAGAATTCAATAAATTAGAAGCTCTCCAGGCTGATCTAACTCTGGAACTAGAATCTGCAGATGCTGAACATTAAATAGCTGAAGAAAGGAAAAGAAGCTTCCGACAATTTTAATGTAAAATATTGGAATGTAAGCCATTTGATTCTGAGAATATTTCTCAATCTGAGAAAAAATAGACTTAATTTGTAGAATGTTGCTGGTTACAGAGAGAGATGAAACTTTAAGTTGTTCTTTTTGTTTGCTAGCACAAAATACATACAACTTAATGTAATATGCACATTAATACTGACAAGAGAGATATTTATCTAGATAATTATCCTAGTAAAATCACATAGTTCTGACTTTTGGTGCAAATGAAATTTTTCTTTTTCTTTTTGTTTAGTGGTGGAAAGGCCCACATAGAAAAAATAATGGGAAAAGGGCAAGAAATTGGCTGGGACAGTTTTCTAAGTAGCAGGGAGTGTCAGGAGGTGTGAGCTGACAGGTGTGAGACTGTCCTTGGATAGCTCCCCGTCTCTTTCATGCTCTGCTCTTCCAATCTTCTGCTCTCTGTCTCTTATCCTCTCATTTTCTCTTTCTAAGCTGTGCTGATCCATTGAATAGAAAGGGAGACATTTTTGCACCCAGTATTTTGCTTGAGATACCTATGGGGAAAGTTTTTGACAAGTGCTTCCAGGGGTGTGTCCCACAGTGTTACTCCCCCAAAACACCATCAGTTTGTTCTACAGGAATGATTGGTGTAAGCCCAGAGAACTCTCATTACATACTTCTTGGGGCTTCCATGTGAAAACAAGGGGCCTCTTGGAGTTAGGTTATGGGAAGCTGCTCGGAAGCTCTTAGAAACAAGGCAGAAAGTGATTTGCAGAATGCAAAAGTCATGTTTCTTAACCATTCACTGCCCACTATGTGCCAGGCTCCTTGCTGGGTGTATAGAGGGGTTCAGAGAAAGTAAGAAATAGGGCCTGTTCTTTTTCTGAGGGAAGTGACAGACATTTAGATAGTATTTCAGAGGTCTGAAGAAGGCTGTGAGAGAGGCTGGGAGCTGCCTGTAGTTCTGGGGACAGGGACTTTTTCACCAAATGCTTTACCCAGGAGGATGAGATGGAGCTGGGCAGGTGAGGATGAGGGTAGAGGAAAAACCCACAGACAAACAGAATGAATGAAGTGTCTAAGCCTGGCAGACATGAGGGTAACATCTCCAAGAGAAAGTCAGCTGGGGCCTGGGAAGGGCCTTTTGCCAAGTTGAGTTTGGATTTTCTCATTTACTCAGCAGGGAACCGATAGAAGTTTTTAAGCAGTAAAATGAGGTAATAGGAT